GTCACATCAACTTCCGGGCACGATTGTCTAGCGCGTATTTATCGGGTTGCCTAGCAACGGTCACAAGTACAAAGTGCAAAATTCGGGCTTTCAAACGATACATCATGCGAGAAAATTGATAAAAAGTTTGCGAAGATTTTCGATTTTAAAACTCTATTTTTTTACAAAACCTGTTACAACCGCAAAGTGTCACAAGATGGGACTTTGCAGCAAGTTTTAAGGATGAAAAAGAAGAGGTTTTTAAAGACTTTTACATATAAAATATATTGTAAAACATAAGGGAGTGTGCATATGTTTCAAGTCAAGTTCTTGTCCAAATCAAGTCGCGCGATTTTCAGCCAGAAAAACAGCAATTTCTTTCAATCTAACGGAAGTGGGAAATCGCAAGAAACATGAACACTAAATCCAAGTGAGTAGTTACGATTTTGTTGAGCGTGTTTTTGAATGAAAATACCTGGCATGTTTTCATGAAATTCGATATAGCATTAAAGCAAGTTCAATCTGGTTTAAAACTAAGTTTTTAGAAGAACTTTTCGTACATTTTATGGCATGATTTCGACTGTTTTCGTGACCCTACCGTTGGTCTTCTTGCTCAAGTTGTTATTTTAGTCAAAGTACTTTCAGAAGACAGTAGGTTCAACTTGTCGTGTGCGTATATACATTTTTGGCAAGAAAAATTTCGAGTAAAACCGCATTAAAACTAAGTAGAATATTCTACAATGAATACTGTATCTGTTTCTATAAATTTTGTCTCGAAACGAGCTCTCATTTCAGAGATAATGTGGTTTAAAATCAGTGTATTGAATTATGCTGTTACTTGGCACGTGCAAATTCTGAACCTTCATGACAGGGATTTGAAAAGCTTCCAAAATACTCTTTATTGCTTCGTATATCCCCATAAAATTTTTAAATCAATAAAGCACATCATAAAATTAATGCACGCTCATTTTCTAAGAAGTACTCGTCGATTACCTAAGGAAAAGTTCCAAAATAGGTCAGGACAGTGGTTTACAAAATGCCGTTCTTCTCTGAAATGGCTTCTTTTGCGGGAAGCCATTCAATTAATGTACTTTCCAAAATTGTAATTTAGTCGCTTTTTTGGTCTCATTGTTCACTTATTTATCATGGAATTACTTCGCTTGAGCTCTTTTAATAATATCTGCAAGATACTTTGCTATTTGGTGAAATAAAAGCTATATTTTTAGCAGTTTATCTTTTGAAAACTGCATGTGCAACAAAGTGTCACCAATGTGTTTACTCTTGTCTGACAAACAACCAAAGATGAAATACTTTATTTGACTCTTTTATATCAATCTAAAATGCCTAAATATTAGATTATTCATTTTATTTGAGCATACATATTATATTTTTATACAATTGGCATACCTAATTTTAGTGTGCAGTGATAACCAATTTGTGCAGTGATAAAACTAAAATGTGCAGTGATAAAATTTGCTGTGATAAGTTGTTAACAATTAACATGAAAATCCAGGCAATGAGCAGAAGAACTGAGCTAAAAATTCGTCTTGACACTCCTTGACAGTATTAATCAAAACATTTTGAATGTAATGAGAAATTAGAAAATCTTTGCCTGAAACACAATTGGGGACTTATAAAACATAATATTATTAGCAAATTGCAGCTTAATAAGTATGGTCTTCACCTCAACTAATGAGGAACAGCAATGCTAGCTCATAACTTCAAACGTTTCTTAAGTCAAACTGTAAATTGATATTCAGCTGTGGTTGAGAGAGATTTAACCAATTTAAGGTGGCTCCCTACAGTTTTCTTGTTTAAGCAATCATTCCGTAAAACAGGCTTATTCGTGCAGAACGCGAATTCTTTTCGACTTAGTGGTAATATTGGTCACCTAAGAAATATTTCGAACTAGATTTCGATGATGTCAATGTTCCCATGGCAACATGACGACAGCATAAAGCCTTCCAATTTAACCCATAAATGTGCCGCTATCTCAAAAACGATGTCGGTGACCTATCTTTTTTATTTCATATATCAATAGGGAATGATGCTCTGCAACTGTGGTGAAAGTTTAAAAAAATTCTGTAGTGTGTGATTTTTTTAAAAGCGAAAAATTTATTGCGAAATTTCCACACTACAGATTTTTTTAAAATTTGAAATCTATAAAATTTACCGCAAAATAAATTCGTGGTCAAAATTTGAAGATAGGTCACCGATGAAACTAATGAGTAAAATGCAAATAAAGTTAGAAAATAGCCTTGTGTAACTCGAGAAATTCCCCTATTGAAAAGCGTCGCTGACTAGTAAAAGATTGTACGCGGGCGCAGAACGAGTTTTCATTCAGCAAAATCGAGCCGCAATGTTTTTACTGTTTTGTTTTTGTCAACTTTTCGATTTATTTGAGTGCTACAGACAGCCAAGGATTATTGTGAAGGATTAAATCGATGAAAACAAGGTTGAAGCTAATTGAATCCTGCCGTTTACTCAATCTATGAGCTGTAACAGCCTATTAACAGGTGGACGTGTTTTTTTGTTTCATGTTTGGTTTTGTACTTTTTGCTAAAAATGAACAATTAGGCTATGAAACTGAAATATTTTTCTGTGTACATATAATCACTTTAATCTTGTAGAAACACGACTAAAAACGTGAACGTTTTCTTGAGAAGTAAACAACTTTTTAAACGTTTGTATGCAATTTTGCAAATGTTTTACAGTTGACAATGTATATTTTAAAAACATTAAAAAACATTGTTTCGTAGCTATTTTTGGTCTAGTGGTATTCGTATCATATGTAGAATTGCTGTATAGACTTGCAAGTAATTTGGCACTCAAAACGAAGTATTATTCAACGCTTTTTCCCATTAGAAACCTTTCAGAAATAGCTTTTTAAAAAAAAAATTGTTTTGTTTTGATCATGCGGTTGCGTGGGATAGTTCACGTACTGGTCCCGCGAACATCCCGCACGCAACTGTAGGGAGCCTCCTTAAATTCTGATAAACTATGCAATAAAATCCCAAAACACACTTTCCCCAAAACAAGGGGATTTAAGGTTGCACATTTAAATGTAAGAAGTTTATATAAGCATATTGAAGAACTAAGAATATATCTTGAAGAGCAATATTTTGATATAATTAGCTTAAATGAAACCATGCTCGATTCCTCTATTTCAGACTATGAAATTAATGGATATAACATTGTAAGAAAGGATAGGAATTGGCATGTTTCTGTTAAACTAATTATCGAAAATGAGTGTTTTGGTGATTCTAACAAAAATTTAAAAGAGTCAAATTTGTTTACAATACTTATGTTTAAATTCAAAATAGAAAATAGGTTATTATTACTATTTAGTATGTCACACAAAACATCCTTTGGAAGGTAGTATTTGCATGTAATGTCATCAATGTTAGGAAGCATGTTGTCAGAATCAACGGTAGTTGTGTGTGAATTATCAAAAGGGTTAAATTTAAGTTTATTGCAATCTATCCATATCCTCATCACTGGGAAGTCGAGAATAATCTCCAAAAAGAATATTGAAAAGAATACTGCAAAAAAAATATTGAGCTAAAAGGTAGCGAGTCACTTAAGCACAAGTGGCAGGTTTTGATTACCGTTTGTTGACATGTAATGCAGATATTCATAGCAAACAGGTGGGAAATTTGTCGTCGCTGACCAAAAAATTGCGGGCAGAAACAAAGCTCATTGCATTTACATTCAAAACAAAGCAGAAAGTTAGCAAGAAGCTGTTTTAGCTGACGATTTTTTGCTTTCCATTCAACAATTTACAAATTATTGGTTATTCTTTTAAAAGTCGATCATGAATTCTTTGTTTTGGGATGATTGTTTTATAATCGCGTGATTGGAAAAAGTTAATATGGCGACGTGAACATGGGAGTAAACACCGTATACGTCGATCTACGGCTTGTTTAAAATCGTAATAAAAGAAGAAAGACGTGATTTGAGAATGAAATGTAAGTTGAAATTAACTTTATATGCCTCAAATTTTCCATCCTATGTTTCTTAATGTAACTTCAGTTGTCTAAGTTCAAAGTTCTAAGTGTCTAAGTTCATTTGGTTATATATAAGCTCTAAAGGCCTGAAAGGTGAAGCGAAATGGACAAATTTGAGCCACCATCTTGTTTAAGGTTCGAAGGCAACCTTAGTGAAAATTGGCAGAAGTGGCACCAAGAACTAGAACTCTATCTTACTGCTACTGAGGATGGAAAATCTGACAAAATAAATACGTCAATACTTCTCACATGCGTCGGAAAGCAAGGTAGAGAAATTTATAATACGTTTCAGTTCATTGAAGGAGAGGAAATGAAATTCAAAGTTGTAGTACAAATGTTTCAAGATTATTGTAGTCCAAGAGAGAACATTATAATATAAAAATAATAATAATGGTTTATTATCATTCCACACAAGTGGCTCTTCTATGCTAAATACAAAAGGAGAACAAAATTACAATACAATACTACATGCACCTATGCCTATGGTAAAAATAATTATAAAAATAATATATATTCATAATATGAATATAGTGAAGTTACGTTTGTTCGTTATTGTCTGCCTTGGCCAATTTATGCGCCACAAATTCTTTACATGTAAGCAGAGAGATGGTCAATCTTTTGATGAGTTCGTTACTGAGCTAAAAAAGCGTAGTGCTGAGTGTGAGTTTGAACCACTTTGTGAAAGCCTCATCCGTGACATTATAATATGTGGAATTAATGACAACCGTCTTCGTGAACGTCTTCTTAGAGAGCCAGAATTAACACTGCAGAAAACTATACAAATTGGACATGCTGCTGAGGAGACCAAGAGACATGTAAAAGAGCTCCAGAAAGAAGTCGATGGCAAGAATTTTGTTGACACTGTTCGTAGAAAGAAGTTTGCAAGAGACGAAAAGCTCTTGAAAAGAATCAGTTGGTTACGATAAATCCCTATTAAAAAATTGTAAGTTTTGCTCATATTCTCATAAACGGGGAAACTGTATTGCCCATGGGAAAAAATGCATGAAATGTTCCAAGTTTAATCATTTTGCAAGGTGCTGTTCAGAAAAAAACAAGTCTGTCAAAAACGTTAATTGTGACTCCAGTGATTCTGATGCTGCACCCGATGACACATTTTTTGTAGGAAGTGTTAATGTAGACACTACTGAGACTCAGACTAACCCTGTCATAAATGGAGAAGAAAGAAACTCAACCACTAAGAAAAATGAGTAAAATGAATTTACAATTTTTACTGTTGGTTCTGAGTCTGAGATTGAGTCTGAGTGGACAGTTGACATGGACACTAATGGTATGACTGGTGCTCAGCATTTTTCAAAGCTGGACGCTTCTTCAGGGTATTGGCAAACCAAGTTTGATGAGGAAAGCTTGAAGTTGTTGTGCTTCAAGTCGAAATTGTCTGAGTTTGCTACAGAAACCTCAAAGGATCCTGTTTTACAGAAGTTAAAGAATTGTGTACTAAATGGATGGCCAGACAAGGCGAGACAAGTTGATCCTGCTGTAAGGCCATATTACAGTTTTTGAGACGAAATCACGTTATATGAAGACATCTTGCTCAAATGTGACAGAATCATTGTACCATCAAGTCTTCAAATTAAATGAAATGCGACAAAAGATCCATCATGGTCATCTTGGAATAGAAAAGTGTAAAGCTCGTGCCAGATCAGCACTTTATTTGCCAGGTATGATTAGTGAAATTGTTGATATTGTTATTGAAGTGTGATGCTTGTGTGGAAAACGGAAATTATCAGCCATCTGAAACACTGATTCCTCATGAAGTTCCATCAACTCCTTGGGAGAAAGTGGGAATTGATCTGTTTCAGTTAAAGAATAAAGACTACCTGATTGTTGTTGACTATACATCGAAGTATTTCGAAGAAATTGCTCTTCCAAATACTCTAGCCTCGACTGTTGTGCAACATACCAAAAGTATATTTGCTCGATTTGGTATACCTAAGACTGTAGTTAGTGACAATGGTCCTCAATATTCTTCGCATCAATATAAAGCAAATATGCGAAAGAGTGGGGTTTGATACGTCAAGCCCCAGGTACCCAAAGAGTAATGGTTCGTAGAAAGAAATATTCAAACTGTGAAGACCATAAAAAATTCTCTTAAAAGTGGCGATGACCCTTGCCTTGCACTACTTGCATTACGTTCAACTCCTGGAACTGACAATTCCCCGTCCCCAGCATTTAAGTTAATGAATCACCATCTTCAAACTCCCCTACCTTCAATAAAAACTGAGAAAACATCACCTACTTTGCTTGGGTCACAAAAAGTTAAAGAGTATCACGATCAACATGCAAAGAACTTGCGACCTCTTAAAGAAGGACAATCAGTACGAATTAGGGATGGTAAATCATGGCATGTGAAGGGAAAAGTAATGGAAAGAGTTGAGAGCAGCCAAGGTCTTATGCTGTTAAAACAGAGAAAGGTACAATCATTTGTAGAAATAGAAGAGATCTTCTTAGCATGCCGGAAAGATTCGATTTGTGTGATGCCGTTGATGATGAACTGGAGATACCACCTAACCCTTTAGCAATACAACTACCACAACCAAATCAACCAACCTTTACTCTCATCAAGATCTACTTCTGATCGTTCTGTGCCGCAGTCAAGACAACCTTGTGTTTGAAACAACAGTGAACAAGGTGTCCAAACTCGTTCTGGTAGAGTTGTAAAGCCACCTACTCATTCTCAAGACTTTGTGAGATCATAGTTTTGAACTTAGTTATAGTATACACAATTATTTCTATATAGACTAGAACTTACTATTAAACCTGACTTTTTCTATTTTCAAAACATTTACTTAAAAAGGGGGTTGTAATGATTATGTTAATTTATTTATATTATTGCCTGCATGCCTGGCAATACGCCTGGAAGCCTGAGAGTATAAATAAGCATGTTGTTTTGTTCTATAAAACACAATTTAGTATTTGCTGTATTGGGCCTGTCTGTTTTGCTTTAATATTAAACACATTTTACTTTTCTTGGTCATGTCTCTTGATCACAACAAATTAGATGATAAGATACATACTAAATATAATTGAGCAATACCTTTAATTATTATGGGAAATAAACTCCACAATGTTAATATATAGTTTATCACGAACCAAACACACTCTTTGCTTTGCCGCCTTTGCTCTCCTCATCACAGGGTAGAGGGTCTGACACACTTTTTCAATCTCTTCGGGAAACTGTTCGGAGATACTGATTTTTCACATTGAAGCGAATTTCCTCCCGATCAGGGAAAAACTTAAATTTTTGCAATGATGGCTCTCGGTTTTCTGCAGCCATCACATTTCCTACCAACTATGTGTGCTCGATTGATCTTGACGCTACTTTTTGCTCCTGGCATATCAAGTTTTTCCTCCAACAATCCAATCACTTCAGTACAATCTTC